TTTTACCGTTTATAAAATTCACTTGTAGTTTCTTTCTGTTTCAATGAATAACCATTTGTGACACAAGAATTGGAAAGGATAAGGAATCGTCTTTGTTAAATTTTTTAATTTATGTTATTACTTGTGCATACATAAAATATGGTATTTCATTATTGGAAGCAAGTAAGGATAAGCATTTATGTGTATGTCACGATCTATTGAACTTTTTATTATGATATTGCACTATATTTTATATCAAAAAGTGCGCTACGCGTAATTTATATAGGTTAAGTAGCCAAATATGTCATAATAAACGTTTGAAAACAAAAAATTCAAAAATTTGGACTTGTATTTCGCTTTCTATTTCCTTTAATGTTGATGTTAGACTTCACTAAGTAAAAGTAATGATATGGAAAACAATTTAAAGGGATACACAGGTGGAAAATGAGAAGTCAAACTTTAGATGAAAGTTACTCAAGAAGTTGCATTGTCTAGTGTATGACCATTATCTCATACGGCTAAGGAAGAATATGCGCTTCGAAGAGTGAATTGAAATTGGCGAGGAAAATCAAAAGAAGTAATAAATGATTGTTCTCAAACATAAACTAAGAGAAAAAGAAAAAACAGGTCTATTATCATGACTTAATTTTATTAGCAGCTCCGAAATTATAAAACTGATGTTTTAGTTTTGACTCTTCGCGTGAGTTAATTGTAATTTTACATGTAGAAAGACGAATAAAAGTATTAGCTCAACCACTACATCAACTTGGTAGGGAAGCAATTTAGGAATATAACTATTTTAAATGTATTAATTATTAAACTTTTTTTATACTCTTTTCTATTGTAAGATTTGTATTGATTAGGTATTCAATTTTTATTTTAAAAGTTGATACATTTGTTCATTTAATATATAATATATTAATTTAACTATTTAATATTACAGATATTTCTATAATAAAGTATAAGTTTATAATATATAATTACTTTTAATTGGTTTTGATGAATTAAATATTTAATTTTTATGAATAAAAAGGATAAATATACCTTACATTTTCAAAGACTCACGCTACGTTAGGACTATAATTTTAATTTACTTCACGGAAGTGGTTATGAAAATTCTAAATGTAATAAACAAAATACTCATACTGGTTAAGTAGTTTTAAAATAAAAGGATTATTAATAAAAGAAAAAATTATATAAGTATCATAAAATAATTAATTTTTTAATTACATAATTATTTTCTAAATAAATAAATAAAAATGAAAGTAATATAATATTATTCACCTGAATAATTAAAGTTAAACAAATAAAATCACTATAAATAATAAATTTTTTCAACTGTATTAAATTTTAGTTAATACAGATATATTAACAACTCCAACTAAAACTCCCTTTCATTCAATGTATATTAATAGAGTATGATTGAGATGTATCAAGAATTTAAAAATTATAATTTTTCTAAGAACAACGAACAAAATTTCACGACTCTATAAGAACGTCAATATTACTAATGAGTTTTTATTAAGTAAAATTGGATTTTTCTTCTTTTGACAAATTATTATATCTACTGTATAGCACGGAATATTTTAAAATTTTATTAGCTTAAATTTATATTTTAATTCCTCTAAATATAATATTTCTTTTATTTTTACCTCTTTAGTCATTTTTTATTTAAAAATATCAAAATTTTCAAATAAATCAATATTTCTACTGATAAAAAAACCCAATAACTAAAGTTTTTTAAATAAAAATATAATAAATGGAATTAAATTATTGTACTTGGGTAAAAAAGTAGTTATGAACAAATCTATTTAATATAAATTAATTTAATTTTATACATATCCAGAGGACTTAAATTTAAAATATAAATTTGGTAAGTGAGATGCGTAAAGTGAAAAATATATTCATTCACCGTTGATATAAAACTAATTATATTTATTAAACAATTAAATTTAAATTAACGACATATAAACTCACTTTTTTTCTCTCATAAATTTTCAGTGTAGATAAGTTAAATTTAATCCTTTAAAGTGAGAATGTGTGTAAAGTAAAAAAAAATAAAATTAAATCACCATAGTCTATAATCATAAATACTAAATTTAAATTTGAAGAGGTTAAACTTTTGCTTTACTTGTTTTTTCACTTTGGAGGAATTAAATTTAAAACTTAAATTTATTCTATAAAGTGAGGTGTGTAAAATAAAAATTTAAATATTTATTTTTTGTTTAAATTTGGTTATATTTATAAAATATTTAAAATTAAATTAATAATAAATAATCTTTCACTTTTTCACTCTTAATTAAATCTTTAAAATTAAATGTGTTTAAAATAATGAAGAGTTACGTTGATGCTAAATATTAAATTTATATTATTTACTGAGATTAATATAATTATTAAATTATTTTAGATAATCTTTGTGATTATATATATATAATTTTAAATAATTTAAATATTAGTAGATATATTATATAAAATTAATATTTATTTATATTTTAAAAATATATTATATATTAAAATAAAATAAAATAATATATTATCTATTTGTTTTATTTTATATAAAATTTAATAAAATTGATTTAAGTGATAAAAATTATAAAATCGGAATGAATGAATTTTACATTTTATAAAAAATTATTAAGTTGTATTTTCTTTTTAAAATACATTGGAAAGTGTACAGAATTTATATTATATTGTCTTTTAGATATTGACATGCTTATCAGATAATATCTAGATATGTTTATGGAAGATATTGTAACAAAGGTGATTGGTGAGTTTCAAGAATTCGAAGGCAAGTCAAATTAGCCATAAATCTAGGATGTTGTAGTACCGAGATAACTAGAGAAAAAAAAGTCTGAACAATCATAGAAAGTTTAATATATAGACAAAATTTTATTGTTAGTATCATGAGAAAAAGTAAAAAAATAAAAATAAAAAATTTATTTTTTAGATGAAATTCAAACTGGCAAGAGACTATTACTAATGTACATGCTTTGAATAGTTTATTTTAAAATTTATAAAACCTTTTCATTAATATTTTAAGAATTATTAATGTACTTATTTATTAAAAATCCAATCAATCATGTACAAACAAAATGTGGGTATTAGGTTGTGGGGATCACCATCAATAATAAGCCACAACTAAATTATACAAATATATCAAATATCATGTTCAACTTAAAACATTAAAATTATTAGGTCCGAGTATTAAATTGTGAATTATTGTTATTTATATGTTATCCAAATTTGTTGTTTGCATGATCTAAATTTTTTTAGTCACATTTAATTTTTAATATTGAATACCTCTTCTGTATTTGGGAATACATTTTTTATATACATTTATATAAAAATAATTAAAAGTAAGTAAAAGATAAAAATAACATTATAGTGTCTCTTTTAAATAATAAAATTAATTAACATGATAGAAAATAAATAACAAAGCTGCATAGCATTGAATAAAATATCAAGTTTGTTAATTGATTGATTTTATATATTTAAAAATAATAAATCATTATTATTATTTATATTTTTACATTATCAAATATAAGAATAATTTTAAAAAAATTATTTTAGTTGTTTAACTTTAAATTTTGAAAGTAAAGTTTATCATAAAAGAAATTAAGAAAATTGTTACAGGAGTAAATAGATATGTTAAATTTTTTAAAAATATAGTGCTTTTAAAAATTACTTTTTTTGTCAGATGATAAGATAAATTACAAAATTTTAAAATAATTAGTTTTTTATTTGTATATATTTTTATTTCTCAACAGATAAATAAAAAAATATTTAAAAAATATTTTTTATTAATTAAAACTAATCAATAATACCTCTATTTTATCTATACAACTTTCTGATTTATCATTTATTAACTGATTTTAATTTTAGCTTTTGAGCTATTCAATTAACCTGCAAAAATTTTATATGTACAGAAGAGTACCAGTAAAAAGGCAATAGCTAATATTGTTATGAATGTTTATATAAATAAACAAAAAATAATTAAGAATAAATTTGATCTTCTTTATGTATATATAAATAAAAATAACAAAATATAATCATTTATTTAAAATACATTAAGTTAACATGGACTGAATGTTTGTTACACATTTCACAGGTCCTTGGGAGAGTGAAAAGGTTATGTATGAATAGAATAGGGTATGTGGTGAGAACACATGCTTAGTGCAAACGGTTCGTACTCTCATTAATTAACTATAATGAAAAGTGTACTTCCCTCGTGCATACTCATAATTGGGGTACCCCACTTTAAGGGACAATGTTTATCAATGTGGCATTCCTGTCCTGTCCCTTTTGGGTCTCAGTCCCATTTGTTGCCCTCCAAAGTCCCACAATATAAGCAAAAGGCATGCAATTGCACCCTGTTAGAGTTCCATTATAAATTCTCATACCCATAAATAAATGAAGTTAATGAACCACCCACACCCATTTTTTAACTCTCTCTCTCTTTCTCTCTCCCAATAGTCTGAACTCTCCTTCATGATGAGTGACTGCTGAGGTTGAAGTCTTCAAGAAATGAAATCATTAAAAAGTAGACCAATCCACGGATTTGAAAGTCTCTTTGGTCATTCTGAAAAGCAGCCTTGAACTACGCCCTTCCCCTCTTCACCTTATTATGACCATTAGGCCATACCTACCTAACTCTAATTAATCACCTATTTAATTTTGCACCAACATTCAAACTTCAAATTAATTATGGTAACTACTTTCAATTTTGTTGCACTCATATAAGATTCCAAAAATAAACACACTTTTAGAAATTAAAAATTTGATTGAAACATTAAGAAATAAATATTTTATTACATTTCAATTAAAATATATTAAAAATTAATAATAATAATATATGACAAATGTTAATTACTAATACTAGGCAGAGAATAAAACAAATTTAACTAAAATATTATAAGACCGTCTTAAGATAATTATTAATTTTTAATAACATAAAAAATTGATTAACAAGATTCATAATATAGTATTAACTTTTCATAAATTATTTATTTTAGTTCTTTAATCATGAATTTAAAGACCCATGGCATTTAATAAAAGAGAAGAGAGAATTTTTCTATTACAAAATCCAGTATCATTGCCCTTTCTCTTTGATATCTATCTTCACTATCTAAAATTTTCTTCTCCCTTCTTTCTGATTTCACCATCGATAAAACCAAAGAAAGAAGGAATATACAAAGAGATTCAAACAAGGAAAAACAAAACCCAATTATCAAAATTCTATATGGAGCCTCCAAAAAAAAGAAGAAAAAAAAACTATCAGCCTCTTAGAATTAACTTCCCTATATACAAAAATCAAATCAATTTCCAAGCTTCAACTTCCCCCACCATTCAGCAGCACTCAAAGAGTATATACTAGTCTTGAACCACCTATCTTCAAGATGCTGGGGACTGGTGTTGATGGGGTTGGTTGGTGTGAACAAATGGATGAAACCTTGGTTTACCAAAGGGGAATCCAATGGCTTTGGAGGTGGAGTCATTGCTAGTTTTGGCTGTGGCTGTGGCTGTGGCATTGGCTCCTGTATTATTAGCGTTGATAGTGGCACTAAGTGTGGCTGAAGAGGAATTGGAGGTGGAATTTGTAGCCACGCGCTCACAAGAAGGACACATAGTCAAGGTAGTAGCTGGTAATTGCATGTAGAATGGGTTTGAAGTCTTCAAAGCCCTCAATTCTTGAAGTTCCTTGTGAAGCCTCCTGTTCTCTTCCGTTAATGTCTCACAACACCTCTTCAAATACTCACAATCCACTTCTGTTTGCTTCAATTTAGTCCTGCATGCACACAAATACATGAATATTATAACTAATATTCATCAATACACTAAAGTATAAAAATAATGACAACCCATTGAAACTTAAACATAGTAAATGGATTTGAACTCATGAACTCTTATAAATCACAGCTCTTGTATATGTATATACCATATATAGTACAAGAAAATAAAAAACACAAATTTGAAAATAAAAAAATCTGCAATAGCATAAATGAACTAAATATGTGTACAAGTATAATGTTGTAATACCTTGCTCTTCGGTTTTGAAACCAAACTTCAACTTGACGAGGGCGCAGATTGAGTTGTTTAGCAAGAGCAAGTTTTTGTTTCTACAAACACAAAATCACGTGTCACACTATTATACATCACTAAACACTAAAAAGCAACAAAAAAGGGTTAGTGGCCACAAAAACACACTCACAGGGTTAAGAGTGTTGTGTTCTTTGAAGCTCTCTTCAAGGAAAGCAGATTGTTCCTTAGAGAGTCTTAGTTTCTTCCTTGTATTGCCGCCACCAACACCACCACCGTTATTCTCATCTTCATCACTGGCTCTTGAAGAAGCCCTTTGATCATAAGCTTCACCCTCTGAGTCTCTCTTATAGTAGTTCCCTCCTGAACCACTGAAACTCCCTCCTCTGTTGTTGTATATGCAGAGATCCATTTGGAATGATGATGCTGCACTGTTTGGTGACGATGACAAAGCTGCCACTTCCTCCGCCTCATCCTCCGCCGCAGCCGCCGGTTGCACGTTCACGTCTAAACCCCTTGATGAACCCCCCAATTCAGATGATAAACTCCCTGCATGTGTTCACAACAGAGAACCATCATATGCTACCCCTAATAAGAGAAATTCAGATACCACCAACATAATTTGATACAAATTTAAGTTTTTTAAAATGATGAGATATTTACAATTAAAAAAACATTTATCCACCGTTCAAGTGTTTTATAAGTACAACTAACTTTAAATTAACGTTTAATAAATATTTTTTATTTTATTTTGGTTAGTATGAATATATATAAGGTGTTCACTGTTCAGATTGCTTAAATTTTTGTCTTAAATTTTGTAAAACTAATATGTATGCAAAATAATTATTGGAAAGAGATTAATTTGATGCTGGAGAGTATGTATATGATATTGGTCTCTTAAAATGGTTTGAAAAGTAAAAAAAGAAGAATTTAAAAGAGGGAGGTTTTGAGGGGTAGAAATGGAAAAGTTGGTGTTTTACCATTTTCAGAAGGAGCTTGCCATGGGAAAGATAGCTGAGGAAGGAGATCAAGTTGATGAAGAACTGGGGTGTTGGACTTTGAGGAAAGATCACAAGGATCTTCAGCTATATGAGTGTTGGTGTTTTTCTTTGGTTTTGCTTCTTCTTCTTCTTCTTGATCTTTTTGTCTAGTGATGATTGGACCTATTGATAACGTGGTGTTGAAGCTTAACCCGAGTTGGTTGGAAGCTTCACGAGGCTTTTCCACGAACCCAAGTAGAGGCCTTGACGTGTCTCCTAAGCTCAAACCAAGCTCCATGATCTCCTTCTCTTCCTCTGCATAGGCTAAACAAAACACACAGAGGAGAGAACTAGAGAGAGAGAATAGAAGTAGGGAAAGATGTGGCTTGAACTGGGAATTAAGGAGGAGGAGCTTTCAAAGAGAAGAGTCTTTATAATCATAGAAAAGAGAGAGAGAGTCCTACGTGATCATAGGAAGACCATATGGTCACTTTTATAAAGAAAGAAAATAAATATATATTTAGTGGGTATTCTCTCTTTTTCTTTTCTTTTAAATTTTTTAATAAAAATTAAATTTAAAATTGAAATAAAAAAATAGACAAGGAAAAGGGTGTTTGACCGACAAAGGTTACCAAGGTTGACAAACACACGTGAAACCCTATTTTTAAGGTAGATATAGATACTCATATACTACTATGCTAGATAGGGCTATTAGGTAGATAACATTAGATGCATAGGTGTAGATTTAGTAGATTGATAGTATCGACAACATTATTCCTCGAAAGAATTATGCTTGGCGCGTGACCATCGGTAGGTTAGGTCTGAGCATGGTTATTGGCATTCATTCATTCACCTGGGGCTATGCTAACGTTATGAGGTTGGGATTTGGGACTCGGTTTCATTTTTCTTGTCTCAAAAGTTGTGTTGTGTTGGTTGTGTCATGTGTGTGGGTACATATGGATGTCCAACAATAATAATTGGTCGCCATGGACATTATTTATTCACCATTTTTTTACTCTATTAAATTATATAAATAAAATTTCTATAATATTTTTAATATTAATAATATAAGATTTTATAATAATATAAATATTATATTTTTAAAAAATATTTATTAAAAATTTTAAAGAATATATTAACAAGTTTATTTAATTATTATTGCTATTTCCTTTTCATAAGAATTTTTTAACTACCTCACCATATTAATAAAATTATTGAAAGTGGTTGATATATATTTTTAAAAATATTTTATAATTTTATGTTTATTCATAATTAAGTAATTTTTTTATTTTTATATTAATTATTAAGAAGTTAAAAATATTTATAATAAAAGATAAATATATAAAAATAAATTGAATTTTTTTAAAATATTATATTAAGGATTAATAAATTTTTTATAAAAATGATTCAAAGGAGTATATCTATTTTCTCCTTATATTAATTTATTTTAAAAATAATGTTAAATTTTATTTTTAAATAATATTTTTTATTTATTAAAAATTTATATCTATAAGTTAGAATTTTTTTTAACCTGTACAGTATTGCACAACATAAAAAGTTATATGTAATAAATTTTCATAGAAAATCATAGCATTTAATATTATCAATATTAAATTATATTAAATTTTATAATTTTTAATAAAAATATTGCTATATATAATTTATTATCCAGTATAATATTGCATATATTAAAGAAATTCATAAATTAAAAGGAGTTTAATTAATAAATAATAAATAATTAAATTAAATAATTAATTTTAATAAAATAATTAAATTATTTGTATGTATAATTCTTTTCTCTTTCAAGCAAATAAATATGAAGAGAGATAGTGATAAACAAAAATTTGTTATAAAAAAAATATGTTTAAAGTATAGGATCTTGTTAGGCACTAGTTAAAAAACTATAAATAAAAAAATATTTAAATATATGTTTAGTCTTCATATTTTAATAATTTTTATAAATTTTTATTTTTAGTCTTTATTATTGTTGATTTAGTTTATTAAGATGCTATCAAATCTCAATTTTTATTTGCATTACGTCATTTAAAAAAATAAAATTAATAATTTATTGAAATATAGAAACTAAAAAAATTTTAAGAAACTAAAATTTTTATTAAAATATAAAACTAAAAGTTATTATAAATTATGCTAAATGTATTAAAAATTATGGAAAGTATATAATAATAAAGTTTTAATTAATATTTTTACTTTTAATTTCTTAACCAATATCTTTATAAAACTTGTTACTATTTGTTTAAATATATTTTAAAAGAAAAGCTAATCACAATTAGTGTCTTCGGATAATAAAACATGCTTAAAAAACATAAAAATATATTTATCTTTTTTATTTTTAAAACTAAAACTTTTAAAATATTAATTAGCAATACTTTTTTTTGAAAAAAGTATAGAATAAATATTCTATACTTTTTTATAAATATATTTTTACATCTACTAATTAACAATATTTTTAAAAAAAATATAGAATAAATAAATTATTATAATATTTAGTAAAAAATTATTTTGAATCAATGTATTAAAATGTAAGTATTTTTCATAATAATATTCATCATCTGGCATGACTTTAGAGGGGTTATGCTCATTAAGGCTACCCACCACCCACCTCCTCTACGCTCTTGGGAGAGCCCACAATGTCTGGAAATTTGCAAGGGTTGAATTGAAGTGAACAGCATAACCATTTATTCTAAAACGGAGCCCATGTGGCTCTTGGAGAAAAATTTTCCCGGAAAAATAAGACAGAAAAAGACATTATAACGATCGAAATTGTTTGATGGAGACATTATTAGCATTAGATACACCTAGCTCTTTATAACTATGAGGAATGGAAATTCTGCAGTCTACAGCTTAACAGCTACCACACCCAAAGAGATGGATACCAAAGGATTTGCATTATCCATATAATGTGTAAATTGTATACATACACTGCATATGCAGAGTGCATGATAGTATAAACATATCATATGGTTATGTTATAAACAAATAATTATTATAAAAATACATTAAAGATTATAAACTTAAACATTTTTAAATGAATTTCTTTAAAAATCATTTTCATTTTTATTAATTTTTTTCATTAGATATTTTTTTTTTAGCTTATCTAATACCACTGTTTAATATTGTATTTAATTCGTCCCACTTATTGATTGAAATAATTTATTTTTATCATTTTCTTGTCAATATTCTTATCTCTTTAATTCAGTTTTATTCTAATTAATTAATTAATTAATAATCATTTCAAAATTCTTTTTAACAATACTTATACAGTGTGCAGAAAAACTATTAGTTGTTAATTTTATATGTTTATATATATATATATATATATATATTATTTTATTTGTATTTGAATTTAAAAATATCAATATAATGTAAAAGAAGTTAGTTCGTATTTTTGCACTTCTAACAATATTTATATTACATAATTTCAAATTTGAATCCAATTTCATAAATAAGTAAAATAAATTTTATATTAAATATAAAATAAAAATATTTTTTATTTATTGTTAACCATCCCTCTGAAACTTGATTATTTAACATACATTATAAATAATTTTTTATTATAAATATTGTTATATATATATATATATATTATGTGCTTTTAGTTATACATTAAAAAAATCAATAAAAAAATTTTCTCCAAACTTTGTTATAAAATCTTTTAAAAACTTTTAGTGACCGTTAATATAATGATCTTTTTCAAAATTTTAGATGCATATAGTAATTTTTTTTCACATATTTACCATTTATAAATTTAAACCTTTCAACTTTCAATTATTAATATGATAATAGGAATTAAGTCTAAATAAAAAAATAAGGCATCATAATTAATTTAAAAAAAAATAATAAGTTAGTCCTATTTATAAAAAATAATTATGAACATTTTTTAATTATAATAAATAATAACATATTTTTAAATACATTAATTACTAATTTTTATACTTTTATTTTTTTAAAAATTTATGTTATTGGACTGTTTATTTTTATATAAATGAATATATTTATTTATTTAAGATATTAATTAATATTATAATAAAATATAAATTTATGATATATAATGAATTTTTATTAATTTTAATGAATAAAAATTTTATTTTTATAAAAAAGACTAGATATAATAATAATAATTAGTACTAAAGGTACTAGTTAAGGAATAAAAAATAAATATTTTAATGAAAAATTTAAAAATATTTTAATTTTATATTTTTAATACATTTTAATATAATTTTAAATAAAATTATACTATATATTAATTCTTTAATAAGTAAAAATATTTTTAATTTTTAAAAAATTAAGATATTAATTATTTTAATAATATTTTTTACATTACATAGTTTAATAAAATATATCTTAAGAATAATACGAATAGAAATAATAGTTAATATAATCTTAATTTTTTATGTAAATAAACGTATATATTTTTTAAAATAAATAAAAAATGTACAAATACCTTACGTGACGCATTTATCACTTTTTCTCTCTTTCTTTTATATATCTGTCCCTGTTTGAATGCAGACACCCGAGCGATGTGGACCGATCTTTATCTAAAATAAAAATAACTAGGGAACTGTGATCTGTTGAAGTCGTCGGATCCAGACAATCTCTCTTCTTGGTTAAAACACGTTATTAGTGACGTGACTGTTTCAAACTTTAGAATTGTGTTTTTTCTTTTTTCCTTTTTTAATTTTTTACTCTATGTTTATATCTTTAATTGAAATTAAAAAATATATATTTAAATTTGATTTTCTTTTTTCTATTTCCTTTATCAAAGATGTAACGTGTAGATAGCATAACAAAAGTGAGTAAAAAAATTAATTTTAATTATGATTGCGTACATGGATTAAAAATAGATAAAATAACAAACTGAGTATAAAAAAATAATATTAATCATAGAGAAGTTTTTAACAATTTTATAGTTTTATAAAATTAAGTGTTAATACATTTTTGTAACATAATTTAAGAAACGAGAGTAGTCTAAATAAGTATTCAAAATATATTTTTAATTAATGTATAACAATTTAATATATCATTTTTATACATAGAATTGGATATTTAGTGTGTAAAATAAAATTAATATACATTTTATTAAAACAAAGCTAAATTAAATTTTATAAAATTGCATTAAATTCTATTCACTAATAAATAATATCTTAATTATATATATATATATATATATATATATATATATATATATTATCATTATCGTGAATTCATGAGAGGGAGAGACAAACTCTCTTGATGATTGCCAGGGAGAATATTAGGGAAATCTTATAATTGATATCTGATTTTCCCATTATTTGAGAGGAGTGATGGTAACGTATTCTTTCAATGGGGACAGAATAAAAAGTTTAACTTATGGCACATTTTATGGACAAAATAAGCTTTCATTGCATGTTTTGGGGGAATGATTTACGTTCTTTGAACTC